GATAAGGACCTTAATTTAAAAAAAAATGTTTTGTGTATGACGATAAAGTACATTCGGCAGCAATGCTACTTAGAATACTCTAGCAGCATGGCCCGGCGTTGCCCGTGCTTGATTCAAAAATCGTATGACTCATACAGCAATCGCTATCACTTGACTTAAAATATTTTTGCCCTTTTTTGCTTTAAAGGAGTGCCCTTTGCCGTGCTGATGTTGCTACATGCCTTACTTCTTGCCTATCTCACACTGCGAATTTTTCTAAGCTCTATACTAAACATTAAATCTGTTACGAAAAAAGAACTAAACAAAATGAACACAAAACGATCAGCTTTAAAAAATGGAAAACCGAATGAAAAAGAATGTTAACAACAAATACTTTTTTCACACCCAATCCAGTTCTGCGGAATCAGAATCAACGTTGAGTTTAAGCAAGCGAATGAGCCAATTGGAGTAAAGTACCATGCAAAATTTAAATTTTTCCAACTTGTGACGAATGCAGCTATTGATTTTTTTTGCATGCTAGTTAACATTCGTGTCAGTCAGCTGTTGGCTCTCACACTGGCCAATAGAATCTTCCTGCCTATTCGTGGCAGCCAGCTATTGGCTCTCACTCTGGCCAGTAGAAAATGGCCACAAACTACATGAAAACTGCCGTAGAAGCATGAAAAAATCGATTATTTCCACTATCGATGGGAGTTGGGAAATGCAAAGTTGGTCTTGGCCTTCCCACTAACTTGGAGCATGTGCATGTAAATGTTGGTGCAAATCCGTCGAAAATTACGGCCGTGCATTCGTTACACACACACACACACCTCCTGCCTTTTATAGATAGAGATATGCTACATATGGTTCGCTGTTCCTGCTATATATTTAGAGATTTTTGATAAAAGCCAAAGAAGAATCGGCATTATTACAGGTCCTGAGCTACTGTCTCGGCTTCAGGCACCGAAATGTTGCTTCCTGGTGCCTTTTCCATAAATACTTTCATAGTAAATTTTCAGATGTACTCTTCTCTATAGTAATTAGACTTTATGAATGTAATCGCAGTACAACATTGGCCCAATTACAGTTGAACTGGCTAGATGTAACCGTAAGTTCTATGCTAACGGTTTCCTCCCTCGCCTCTTTTCTCGCTTGTAAAACTTTCTTCCAGCTCCATGCTTTCCAGCCAACTTTGATCTTCAAAATTTTAAATGCAATATCAATCGTAATCTACTGTCTTCCTAATTACTCTTCTATTGTTCTCCCTCACCAATAATCTTTCCGTTTTCTAATTCTTTCACACCCAGTTACCGTGTGTCTTAGAGGCTTTATTGCCTTGCTCAATAAAAAATGTCTGATGTTTCTTCTTGGAGACTGAATAACAGCAAATCTTTTCAAACCTCCCGAAACCTAGTGCTGGGAAAGATATGAATCCATCTTCCACCAGCTATGGGTTAAATAGTAAAGCAGATTGGGCTCTCTTGCCTTGAGGTGGTAACCAATCCAGTAGACCTGAAGAAAGATAGGCTCCGTCAGGCTATCTTGCCTAAGGTACACAGCTTCTGTTATAGCTGCAGTACATGTGGCTCCCTTACAGGAATCGTGACGAAACCTAAGCCACTTTTTTTACGCAATCCAATACTATGAAGTATTCGTACTGGTATCTTCATCTTTGTTGTTTTGATAAATTTTCTAAAAGTTTTCTCTTTAAACATCCTATTACGTTCTGACGTGTTCTGGAATAAAATACTGTTATTCTTCTTCTCATGAGCGATCACGGGTCTCCATTCTTCCTATCAATCGTGTACCTTAGCAACGTTTCTCACTTTGCAAAATCTCGCTACCTCACGTTCTGCAATCTATTCACAAAAGCTCGTCAGGTAAGTGGTTCGTAGCCTTTCCCTATCCCACATGCTTTCGATATGCCCTGTGAGTATTAAATTTTCCAAGCCGTTTTTCTTCATTAGGTATTGTTATGCCATAGTACCTATTCTATTGTAATGGACTCTCCCATAGATAATAAGTAGGAGTAGCAGTGGCAAGTCTGGCAGAATGGTGTTGAGTACGTCAGTCGAGATTCGGGCATTTGAAGTACCAACCATCACAACTAGATTTGCTGTGTCATTGACTCTTATTTTCCAAGTTCCTAACGTTTTGTACGTTGGACCTAATTTAGGATGACTTATTAGAAATACAAGCCTCCACTGTGAAAATACTCCACAACAGGTATTTACAAGATTTTAGCTGTTTCTTTCTGATTCTGGGTATAAGTAGAGTATTTTTTTGTTATTATTTTCTTTAAGACTTCTTCGTTGCTTACACGATCTGTCCATGGAATCCTCAGCATCCTAATGTAGAACCACCTTTCTGTTACCTTCATTTTCCTTTTTATTTGTGGAGGTTGACTCTTCAGCGTTCACTGCCATACAAGAGGAATGATATCACATAGCAGTCCTTTGATTCTACCAAAATTTGTCAGTTTCTTAATACTTTGGTTAGCTTTAAGAGATGCATGGGTTCGCTAATCTAATGCGTGTTCGAATTCCGGTGTCACATTTTCCCATCCTCTCTGTAAATACTTCCCAGATATTTAAACTTTTGTACTTGCTTTATGTTGACACCTGCAATTTGCAGCTCGCATCTTTGTTGCTTTTTTTCTCTTGCTGATAAATATACCGTCTTCTTAAAGTTGATAACCATACTTTTTTCGTACATTAGATAATCATACTGTCTTCTTATAGTCAATGGTTAGTCTTCTCGCTTTTATTTTGAAGCATTTCACTCCATGTAAGGCGGAAGTGCCACTACCCCGCAAAGGGTTGCAGAGAGTGAAAGCAAGAGTAAAGACGGTGTTTGAGGAAAGGATATAGAGTAGGTCGGGGATCAGGATTAAGTTACCAGAAGATGTCGATTGGCATTACATTTGAATATTTGAAGATTATACCTATCAGGGAAGCAAGTGATGAAAATTAATTTCAGATGTGATTATAGTTTTGAAAGGATGTATGTCAATTCATGTTTTCTTGCATATAACATAAGAATTTATTTGTTTCTTTTTTTTCCTACATCAATATGTATCCATGAAGAAGAACCATGACAATGGCAATGAGATTATTGAGCCAACAACAAATTTTGATGGATTTTATAGACGTGCTTATATGAAGTTGCCTTCTTGATGTATTACCATATTTAATAATTCTTAATATAAAGTTGTCATGGCTTAATTGTTAGACATTCAGAGAGGATAGAAGAGAATATTTTCAGTGAGGATCAGAGTAGTTTGCTAAAATATTGTTTGCATATGGAAGGTGAGGCAGTGAGAGGGACAGGTGATTGTTATTCATTTTTTTTAAAGCATTTCACCCCAACCAAAGCGGGGTGCCACTCGCACACAAGGGATTACAGAGAGTGAGAGCATGAGTAAAGAGGCGGTATTAGAAGAAAGAATCAAAAGATGTCGATTGACATTTCATCTGAGTATTTAAAGATTGTAGTAATCAGGGAAACAAGTAAGATGAAGGGAGTCCCACAGACAGGAAGTGCGAGAGAAGCTGTTGGAGTAGAAGAGGCGGTTACATTTAAATGTTTTGATATTGAAAGAGTGGGACCGAGATGCCAACCTAGTAGAACGCTTAAATTCATGCAGTTGGGGTACCAGTGAAAATAGATCGTCGGAGCAGTTGTCTTAAAAGTACTTGTAGAAAAAGACAGAGGGAAGCCACAGTACGTCTGTGAGAAAGTGACTGTAGACGAGATACCTGGTCAGTAGCGATGACACAGCATATCCGTTTTTGGATTTTGTCGAGAAACTCGGGATGTACAGCGGGGGGCTCCCGATCATATATAGCAGCAGTAATTAATGCAAGGACGAATGGTAGATTTTCTAGATTTGAAGGAGGGACTCAAGCTAGAAAAACCTTCTGGCACGGCGCAGAGAACCAACTTTCCTTGCGGTAGAAGAAGCTATTGATTCAATGGAGATGTTCCACCTCAGGTCAGTGGAAAACGTGAGACCAAGATGGCGCAGAGAGACGCTCTCGCAGAGTTGAACACCAGCCATACTGATGGGAGGCAGGGAGTTTTCTCTGTGGTGGGTAAATGAGAGCAGTTTCCTTTTGGAGGCATTAAAGTTTACAAACGATTTCTTGCCCCAGTCAACCACAGATTGGAGGTCCTTTTTGAGACCAGCGGCTAGGTTAGGGCTTTCCTTTACTACTTTGTCTAGGAGCTTCTGCAATTTGCTTTCAGTGTCTGCCATTAATACAGTATCATCTGCGTATCTTAAATTCCTAACATTACGCCCCTATCCAGGATCATTATTTCACGAATTTTACATTCATCAATGATTTTTTTCCAATCACTATAAATTGGCTGGCCTTCTCAATCACTTAAAAATCTTATCAGTATTCCGAGAATTGACCTACTAAGAATAAACCTCTTCAATCAAAAGAAAAACAAAACTCGCTACCGTTGTAACCACTGAGTATACTTTATTGATAAACGCTATTAATTCGAAGTAAATTGGCCCTTAGCTTTTTAACTTTTGACCTTTTGATCTCTTATCCTAGATGTCGCGAGTGAACTGTAACTTGGCGGAGTATGTTAGTAGTTTTAGTTGTTGGGGAGGGGAGGGGGTTGCGAAGTTAAATAGAAAGTGAAAACACTTGGTAGTGACACGACTGAAATAATTGCTTATTCTTCCAAAAATAAACGAAGTCCACTCGGCCAGTATAACTAATCTAGTAGAAATGATTGCTCACTGAAAAAAGTATTAAGATGGCTACGACTGGGGTAAAAAAAAAAAAAAAAAAAAAAACGGCGCGAAATAGTTTACTGATGGGGCAATGGAAGTGGTAAGTAAATGCCCTGAGGAAATGGAAGTAATTTTCATTATTATTATTATTATTCCATGCATTTTCTGCGTTCAAACCACATGTCTAAGGACTTGCGTGATAGCAAAGCTCTTCAAATAACCAGAATCTTTTACAGTAGCCACGTAAATACAGCCTTAACCCATTCAGTTATCATCGAAGACATTGTGGCATTCTTCTTCTTCTTCTTCTTCTTCTTCTTCTTCTTCTTTCCTCCTCTCCTCCTCCTCCTTCTTCTTCTTCTTCTTCTTCTTCTTGTCGTCGTCTTTTTTGTCGTCTTCTTTTCTGTGGTCTTCCTTCTTCGTCGCCGTCGTCAACGTCTTCATCGTCGTCGCCGTCGTCAACGTCTTCATCGTCGTCGCCGTCGTCAACGTCTTCATCATTGTCGTCGTCTTCTTTACTGTGGTCTTCTTCTTCTTCTTTGTTGTCGTCGCCGTCAATGTCTTCTTTTTTGTGGCCTTCTTCTACCTTGTATTCTTCTAATTATTCGTCGTCTTCTTATTCATCGTCTCATTCGTTTTCCTTGTCTTCGTCTTCCACTTCAGTGTCATTGCCTTCTTCTTCATCTTCTTCGTCTTCTTCGTTTTCTTCATCTGTTTTCGTATTATTCGTTCTTCTTCGTCTTATTCTTTTTCATCGTCTTCTTCATTTTCGTCGTTTTCTTCGTCTTTTTGCCTATCTTCTTCTTCATCTTCTTTTTCTGTGTTGACCTCTTTACTTCGTCGTCAAAGTCTTATTATTCGACTTCTTAATCTTTATCTTCTTCATCGTCATATTCTTCTTTGTCGTCTGTTTCTTCGACTTCTTCAGTTCGTCGTCTTCGATTCTAGTTCATTTTTCTTCGTTGAGTTCTTCATCTTCCTTTTCTTCGTCATCTTCTTCTTCGTCTCCTATGTTGATGTCATCCACCTCTTCTTTTTCTAATTCGTCATCGTCATCTTGTTGTTGTTGTTCTTCATGTTCTTCTTATTCTTCTTCTTCTTCATCATCTGTTTCTTCTTCATCATCTTCTTCTTCATCTTCTTCTTCTAATTCATCATCTTCTTCTTCTTCTTCGTCGTCGTCGTCGTCTTTTCCGTCTTCTTCATCGTTTTCTTCTTGGACTTCTTCTTTGTCGTCTTATTCGTCCTCTCATATTTTTCATCTTCTTCCTCATTTCTTCGACGACGTCTTCCTTTTCTTTTTCATCTTCTTAGGTGACTTCGTCTTCTATTTTGTTGCCATCGTTTTATTATTATTCGTCTTCTTCGCTTTATTCATCTGTTTTGTTCTTCAGCGTCGTCTTCTTCGTTGTCTTCGTCGTCTTCTTCATCTCATCTTCGTCTTTTTATTCGTCGCCTTCTTTTTCTATTTCTTATTCGTTGTCTTCTTTGTCGTCTTCTTTTTTCATCTTCTTTCTTTTCTTCGTCTTCTTCATCTCATCTTCGTCTTCATATTCATCGTCGTCTTCTTTGTCGTCTTCTTTTTTCATCTTCTTTCTTTTCTTCGTCTTCTTCATCTCATCTTCGTCTTCATATTCATCGTCGTCTTCTTTGTCGTCTTCTTTTTTCATCTTTCTTTTCTTCGTCTTCTTCATCTCATCTTCGTCTTCATATTCATCGTCGTCTTCTTTGTCGTCTTCTTTTTTCATCTTCTTTCTTTTCTTCGTCTTCTTCATCTCATCTTCGTCTTCATATTCATCGTCGTCTTCTTTGTCGTCTTCTTTTTTCATCTTCTTTCTTTTCTTCGTCTTCTTCATCTCATCTTCGTCTTCATATTCATCGTCGTCTTCTTTGTCGTCTTCTTTTTCATCTTCTTTCTTTTCTTCGTCTTCTTCATCTCATCTTCGTCTTCATATTCATCGTCGTCTTCTTTGTCGTCTTCTTTTTTTCATCTTCTTTCTTTTCTTCGTCTTCTTCATCTCATCTTCGTCTTCATATTCATCGTCGTCTTCTTTGTCGTCTTCTTTTTTCTTCATCTTTTCTTTCTTTTCTTCGTCTTCTTCATCTCATCTTCGTCTTCATATTCATCGTTGTCTTCTTTTTCGTCTTCTTTTTTCATCTTCTTTCTTTTCTTCGTCTTCTTCATCTTATCTTCGTCGTCTTATTCATCGTCGTTTTCTTTTTCGTCTTCTTTTTTCATCTTCTTCGTTTTCTTTTACTTTTTGCTACTTCGTTGTCATCGTCGTCTTATTATCATTCGTCATTTTCTTCGTTTTCTTAGTCTTCGCTTTTTTCTCCGTCTTCGTCTAATTCTTTCGTCTTCATTTTCTGCTTCGTCTTCTTCATCATCTTATTTTTCTTCTCCTTTGTTGTATTCTTCTTCGTAGTTGTCTACTTCGTCCTCTTTTCATTTGTCGTCGTCATCTTCTTCTTCATCTTACTTCTTTCTTTTCTTCGTCGTCTTCTACTTCTTCGTCGTCTTATTGATTCTTCTAATTCTTCTTTTTCCACTTCTTCCTCTTCTTTTTATTATTTGTATTTCTATTTCGCTTTCTTCTCTGTTTCATTCTTATTCGTCGTCGCCATCGCCTTCTTCGTCTTCTTCTTTTTCATCTTTTTTGTCTTCTTATTAGATGTTTTCTTCTTCTCCTTCTCCCTCTTCTTCGTCTTCTTCTTCGTCTTCTTCTTATTTGTCTTCTTGTGCGTCGTCTTTGTGTTTGTTTTTTCGTCGTCTTCTTCTTCGTCGTCTTTTCCATCTTCGTCGTCGTCGTCGTCTTCTTTGTCGTCATTTTCGTCTTCTTCATTTTCTCCGTTTTCTTCATCTACTTCTTAGACTTCTTCTGCTTCGTCTTCTTCGTCGTCTTCGTCTTCTTAAAGGTCGCCTTCTTCGCCATCTTCTTAATCAATGCCTTCTTCTTTCTTCTTGTTCTATTTCGTTTTTGTCGTCTTCTTTATATTAGTCTTCTTCTTTTTTTTTGTTGTCTTTTTTTCTATTATGCTGACTACTTCGTGTTCTTCTTTTCCCTTGTCTTCTTCATCCTCTTCTTCGTATTCTTCTTCGGAGTATACTTCATCTTCCTCTTCTTATTTGCTGTCTTCTTCTTCGTCGTCGTCTTAATCGTCTCCTTCTTCGTTTTCTTCGTCGTCGTCTTTGGCTTCATCTTCTTTTTCATCGTCTTCTCCTTAGTTTTTTTCATGTTCTTCGTCTTATTCTCATTTGTCGTTATTATTATTATTATTATTATTATTATTATTATTATTATTTTATGCATTTTCTGCGTTCAAACCACATGTCTAAGGGCTTGCGTGATAGCAAATCTCTTTGAGTAACCAGAAACTTTTACAGTAGCCACGTAGATACAGTCTTAACCCATTCAGTTATCATTGAAGACATTATCGCAGTCTTCTTCTTCTTCTTCTTGTTTAATACAGTCCCTTATTAGATTAACCGAAGTCTGGCGTAAGGTAAGCTTATAATCGGATGTTAAACGGCACTTGATTTTTTTTACAGTAATGTTCACCCTATACAAGGCCTGGGGGCACTCAAGGTAGAGGGTTACGTTAAGGGGTAGTTTATATGGATAGGCATGGAAGATAACGGTTAGCTCTAGACATGAACAGGTTAAGATTGTAGTGATTGGGGAAGCATCCTCTTGGGAGTCTGTTCCACGGGGCAGTGGTTCGTGAGAAGAAGCTGCTCAAATGAATCTTACTTCTCACGGATGAAATATTTAGGGAATGTAGATGGTTTGCTACTATGTAAGTGGCATGACGTGTCTTAACCGTAAAGATTAGACCTGGTGGAACCAATCAACGTAGTTCGTAAGAGTAAATTCCATAGAAGTAGCTATGCAACAGTGTGAGACTCACCACATCACGCCTGTGAGAGAAAGGATGGACGGTGGAAAATAATTCTTCTTCAAAAAGGACTTGGAGACGTTTTTGAACTCTATCAAGAGTGGAATGTGAGGACTTGAAAGCTTCCTCACAAATATGGCAGCAGTGGTTCCTTTTCGGCCTGACCTGACACTTCATACATAAAGTGTTTTAATTTTTTTTTTAAATATTACGAATATAATTTATAAGATATCGTAATCAGATTTGTTCTATGTACTCAGTAGTTATCAAAGATTTTAATCACATTGCATTTGTGTATTTGAAGAATCTTGTTAATGAAAGAGGTTCTGTTAAATGAACCTCTAACATTTCCACATCGGTGGATTGTAAGGAATGACCCAAATTCCTGGACACTTCATTCACCAGATATCACTCCACTGGACTTTTTTGTATGGGGTTATGTTAAAGATATCGTGTATCGAACAAAGATAGGGGACATCACTGATGCCATTGCCACCATTGATGAGGCTATGCTACAGCGAAGATGCCAAGAAATCGTGTACCGTCTTCATGTGTTTTGCGCAAGTAATGGTACCCAGATAGAAGTGTATTAACTTAGTAATAAAAAAAATCAATATCTAATCCTCATTTAATAACAATTTCCACATATTTGTCTGTTCATTTGTGTTTGTAATAAATATTTTAAATTGTATAGAGACTTTATGTTACACCTTATATATATATATATATATATATATATATATATATATATATATATATATATATATATATATATATATATATGAACTTCAAAGGATGCTGAGATAAGTGCATAACGTCTTTGAAGAGGACTAAAGAGTCAGTCTTCATGATTTACGATTTTTCCTTAATATGATATACAGGCTATCCATAAATTCTCGGGCCCCTGGACTTATTTTTAGATTTCGTGTATCGAACAAAGATAAATAGTATCCCTGATCTAAAGCAAAAGACCACTGATGCCATTGCGACAATTGACGAGGCTATGCTACAGCGAACATGGCAAGAAATGAAGATTGGGTGCATGGAGAAATTGTCTATATACTTGTGTTTCGAGGCACGGTGGAGTAATGGATATCGTCTCGGATGGAGGAATCGGAGAGCCGAGTTCGAATTCTGGTCGGCTCCATTACATTCATTTACGTGCTAATACACTCGGAAAAGGTATAAATCCTTTTCTTCGCCCCCCACCTCCAGCTATGGCTAAATAGCCGGACAGACCGGGTTCTGTAGCGTTGGATGTCAACTGATGTACCACAAAAAGGAATGGCAACCTAGTGCGGGATTATGCTAAAGATATCGTGACATTACTGATCTAAAGCAAAATGCTCACTGATGCCATTGCCACCATTGACGAGGCTATGCTACAGCGAACATAGCAAGAAATCGTGCACCGTCTTGATGTGTTTCGTGCAACTAATGGTACCCAGATAAAAGTGTATTAACTTAGTTATAAAAAAAATGTTCAATATCTAATCCTCATTTAATAACAATTTCCACATATTTATCTGTTCATTTACTTTTTTAATAATGTTTATTACTTTTTTAATAATATATATATATATATATATATATATATTCAATATCTAATCCTCATTTAATAACAATTTCAAAATATTTGTCTGTTCATTGGCTTGTTTAATAATGTATTTAATTTGCAAAAATACTTTATGTTACACCATATAT